ACCACTCATTCCAAGAGGGCACGTACAGGACCTTCAGCAATAGTCCTGTGCTTTGGACAGAAAGCACGAGCAGCCACACAGCCCACTGAATCACCCCTCTATGTTCCAGGCTCCTGAACAAAAAACAGCTGGGAGTTCAAGGAGGCCACAGGATGGGAAGCTCTCCAGAGCTGGAGACAATGGTGCTCCACACTTCCAGGAATCTGCATGGTGTGTGGAACTGAAACGTGGGGTGTTACTGAAGAGACCACTGCTTGAAAGATCTAATGATGAAGCCAATGTATAAAACCCTGAGGACCTGTTATAGAAGCTTGGTAGCAAACTGACACTAGGGCATGTGCTCCACAGCAAGTCAAGAGGAGCTGAGGAAACGGGAGACCTCACCTGGTCTCCAAAAGGAACCCACAAGGCCACCACCATCAGTCCCAAGGCCTCACATCAAGGCTGCCAGCCCTGGCCCCTCTGCCTTCCCCTCACCACACCTGCTGCACCTTCTGCAGCTTTGTTAAGCCTTGGAGGCTTTTCGCATCAGGTGGAAGCGCCTTATTCCTCTGATCTCCCCTTTGGACACTACGCTCAAAACACGGGCCAGTAAAGCCACCTTGCCACGTAGAACCTGAGGGCACTGCTGCAGACCTGCGTCCGGATGGGTCCGGAGGGCTGGCCTGAGCTGGGATGAAGGGTCAAGCAGCCAGTCCCTCACGCCAAGCCACCACAGGCCTCACCTCCTCCCTGGTTGCCACGACCCGCAGCTTGACGACTCCATCCTTGAGCTCTTGCTCACCCACAATGGCAACAAGAGGGATGCCCGTGTCCTCGCAGTACTGCAGCTGATTCAGCAGTTTGGGGTTCTTCTTGTACAGCATTTCTGCCTGGAAGAGAGCCAGAACACACCACCATGATCAGCGCTGGCCTGTTTTTCTGCACCCCCTCAACCAGGCACTGCTGGACCAGTCTGCTAACTGCTGTCTGCTGAGCATGGTGGGGGAGAAGATGGGCATTATGGCCAATGAGTAATGCAGCACAACTCAAAAGGTACTCACAAGGCACTATTTATCCTGGGAAAGCACCAGGTCATTAGCTCTAGTCTGTGCCAGATCAGGGCTGACACCTGTGGTGGCCCTACACGGTCAGGAGCCCAGCAGAGCACCCAAGCCTTCTCCACTCAGCCACCAAGGGAGTCTGCCCGCAGCAGGCAGTGAGCAGGGCCCTGCCACACCGCGTGCCTTTGGCCTGCAGAAGACACGGCCCAAGCCCCTCTCTGCCCACTCTCCCCTCCTTGCAAGGATCAACGGTGTTTTTTGCTTTTTGCTGGAAGCAGCATCGTATCCCAGCTGCCACAGAGCAGGGGCTGGAGTGTTGGCTGCTTTGGGAATCTCTCTTCAGATAACAGACACGGAGCAGCCCCTGTAGTGTTACCAGGCTAACAGTCATGCTGCCACCCAGCCCTTCCTGGAGAACACCTGATTCAAGACACTGAGAAGAGGCAGATTCCATTCAGGAAGGCAGTCTGCTGCCCACCTTCTCCTTATGACTCCCTCCTCCCAAAGCAAAGCCAGATCTGGTCCATTCCTGGCACAGAGTGGACGAAGCAGCTCATGACTTTGCCATCACCTCGTCATACCTTGATTCCAGCATCCCACAGCTCAGAGATGAGCTTCAGCCGCTCTTCAAGGAGCTTCTTTTGGGCAGAGGCCACCAGCACCTGTGTCTCTGTTGTCCTGATCTTTTCCTCAGAGGCCTAGAGAGAGGGCAAGACTCAAATGATGCCAGGGACATACAGAGCTATCTGACACTCCATGAGCAGGATGGGTCACCACCCCAAGCCCATCAATTCAGTGGTGAAGAGGATCAGGCTTAGTGGGATGAACAGCATAAATTCATGAGAGTCAGGGAGGCCCCACCAACCCCATCCTGGAGCAGAATCTCATCTTCTGCCATCGTTCCATGATGGGGACTTAACATAACCACCCTCCTGCACTGCAGGTGCATGCAGACTGGAGGACGTGCTAAGTATGAGCAATTTCCCTGCCAGCTTCTGCCTAGAGACTGTTCCTCTACACCTAAGGGCCTCCCAGAGATCTGCTCTAAGCGGCTCAGAAGCAGCAAGCCCAGCAGGAGCTGGATAGAGCTGAGCTGGTAACTATGGGTTTGATTAACAGCAGCAAGCTGAGGTGCTCCAGCGCTGTCAGAAGCCACCTGCTTCCGTGGCAGATGCTGGATACTCAAAGTGGCATTTTTCTGCCACTGCTTTCGCTGAAGGGAGAAACCTTTAAAAGGTCACCTGCAGAGGAACAAACCTGGCCAGGACTGGAGGTGGTGGGGGAAGAATTCACTTTCCACTTAGGAATCCTGGTTGTGTCTGGCTGCCAACAGACAACTCCCCATAACAGGCCTCTGGGGAAGGAAATGTGCGGCAGTGTTTTGGGAGCCTACAAAGACTTATTTAACACCCATTGATTGGGATGGAGGACAACACATTGGTACAGCAACTCTGAGGAGGGGGAAATAGGAAAAAGATATCTGGGAACCCCCCAGAAGCACTGCACTCCCTGCCCTGGGACATCTGATCCCTGTCTGGTCTCTGTAGTGCCTTGGGCAGGATGAGTAGATGTGCGAGGCTGCTGTCTCCCTGCCAGCCTTGCAGAGCAGTGCCACCTCACCAAGGAGAGCGTGGGGCCACATGGATGCCTAATGCAGTGCAGAACACTAAGGCACTTGACCTGGGAACCTGGTACTGCTGAGGGTTAAAGTGCCCCCTCCAGCTGGACAAGCCATGTCTGAGGGCTGCTGGAAGAGGGGTCTTGTCTCCAGTGGGAGCCCCAGGGATCATCTCCCAAGCCAGGGAAAATTGGAGATTATGTCCTGGTTCTGACTCCTGCTGCAGAGCACAGTAGAGGGCTAGGTGGCTTCTCCATCAAAGACTGCAGCAAGGAAGACTCACTTCAGCATCTGCTGGACTGGGGGTACATGAGAAAGATGTCAATCCTTGCTCTTTTTCCATGCTTAGTTGAACAACAAAGGCATTTACCTCTACTCTCTGCTCTAGGATGGAGAAGATCCGCTCGATCCCAATGCTGACCCCCACGCAGGGCACCTTCCGTCCCTTGGGATCAAACATCCCCACCAGCCCGTCGTAGCGACCGCCTACAGCCACGATCC